CCACCTCTACGGTGCTCCCAGGCTGGAAGGGGAAGGCAGGCTCTCGGTGCTCAGTCCCCCAGGCTCCACCATCTTTGCTGTTGCACACGATGGTGTTCGAGTCCCCGTGGGCGTTGAAGCGGGGGTTGAAGTGCAGGCACAGGTTGTCTTTGTCTTTCCCCAGGTTCAGCACGAAGCTAGGGAGCGACAGGCAGGCTTGAGGCCAGGCTGGCTAGCTCTCGACCCAGAGCTCACCGAGGAGAAAATGCAACATCAGCCGCTGGCCATTCATGCACCTTGTTCAAACCCGGTCAACGGGAAGACCATTGGTCAACAGGAAGACCAGGAACCTGGATTCTCGTTCTGGCCTCTCTGTGTGAGCTGAGTTAGACCCCGCCACTCCTCTCTGAGCCGCGGTTTCTTTCCCGTCTGTACCATGGAGGGCTGCCCTGAAGGGATCTCTCTCCCAGATATTAATTGGGGTCAGCCCCTTCAGTCAAGGGGGGGGGACCCTCCAGATGCTGTCCTGTCTCGTGTACCCGAGTCCCTGGTGCCCGGCACAGACCAGGACACGCCGCAGATGCTCCATCATTTGGAGTAAAAATGCAAATAATAACCTGGGATTTGATTTGTTGCCTGGGGCCCGGTTAGCAGTACTTGCCACCGAGGTCTGGTAGGAAGAAAGAGAAAAGAGGACCCAGGCGCTCAGCCAGCTGCCTTGATAAATCTGGCCCCTGGCTTTCTCCACACCACAACTTTCCCTCTGGCTTTATTAGGAAACCCAGGCTCTTCCGGGTGGGGCGGGTGGAGGTGCACACTTTCAATCTCCGCACTCGGGAGGCAGAGACATGTGGGACTCCGTGGAGGCTAACCTGGTAGTCAATGGTAAATTCCGTGCTAGCCAGGGCTACGGAGTGAGACCCTGAGACCCTGCCTTCCCAGAAGAAAAGAAAAAAAAAGTCTTTGGTAGACTTCCCGAGCTTGGGTGGCTGGTCTGAGGTCACATGGCTGCTGAGAAAATAGGCGACGGCACTGAGAGGGAAGCATTGAAAGAAAAGACTGAGCCCCGTAGGGCCCCCGCAGGCAGCTGGCACGTGGGTGACCCCTCCCTCACTGCACCCCCCCCCATACACCCCAGGCGGAAGGGGGGGGGGACAAGCCGGGGTAGCTCTTGCGGCAGCAGCTGGTTTTAGTTTAAGAAACTCCATCCCGGAGAGAGGGGGCGGGAGGGAAGGGGAGACCACGGTGAGGTGGACCAGACCCAGCGAGGAAGTGAGTCACCCAGAAAACGCAGCATCTGCAGCTGGCCATTAACCCCCGACGGGCTGGGGAGAAGCCGGCTATGGCCGGCCACGCCCATCCCCAGCCTCAGGACCCACGGCCTGCGAACCCCGCCTCTGCCACCGCCATCCCCCCCCCACACTCCATTCTCACCTCTTGGCTTCGGGGGCCACCTCGCCCCGAACTCTGAGACACTCCCCAGGTTTGAGATTCAGGTTGCTTGCGACCAGACCCTGCGTAGACAAGACCACCTAGCTGCAGTTAGGGCCGAGTTAGGACATGGGCCTCAGCTCCCTGCAGTGGCCTGGGGTGTGGGCATGGGGTCATTCCCACCCTGGGTATCCTGACCAGCCCTAGGGGAAGCCTAGAGGGTGGGGTGGGGCGGGCGGGACAAGGTGTAAGTTCTAGTCTGGGTTGTCCCTGTGGTTAGGGACAGTCTCCATTCCCAGCAGGGTCTGCTAATTTGAAACTTAGGGCTGTCCTACAGGACAGAGCCTAGAAGATTCACCCGTGGTCAGCTTGGAGAATTTTTTTTTACTTGGAGTGGAGGGGATGATGGAGTGTGACCTCCAAAGTCCTCATCCAGCTGGATAGAAATGTCGGTGGCTCCTCCGGGAGAGAGAAAGCAGCCTGGGGCCTCTCTAATTCCCCTCAGGGCTCTCTTCTCTGCCCAGAGGGCACACACAGACTGGGGTGGAGAAGCCGAGGGGCAGGGCCCGCTACACAGGAGTGCACCATCGTGGATTTAGCAAGCTAGGGGAGAGCCCAGCAGATATCTGGGCATTGGGTGGGTAGACAGGGGTTCATTTGTGCGAGGGGTTTCTTTGACATTTGAACCCTGTCCCTAAAGGTTTGTAGACGACTCGAGCCTCAGCCTGGGTGTCTATTTGTGCAAAGGCACGCAGTTCTCTCGGCCTCCCCCTAACCAGTAACCACGAGGAGTCCCAGCCTGGCCTGCGGCTTATCTAGGGCCCAGGAGGTTTTTTTAAGTTTTTCTGGAGCAGAGGGTGAGCTACTGGGCCCTGGTTCTGTGACTGGGGACAGCTGCAGGGGGGGGGGAGGTGCCAGGAGCCTCGAGAGGAGAGGAGAGGGAAGCAATAAGCGAGGGGCCTTGGCCAAAATGTCCCCCTGCCTCCCCCTTGCCCCTCCCCAGGTGGCCACACCCTTCCCACTCCCACTTCTCAGAAAACTACAAAGTGGCAGAATATCGGGCCTTGCAAGACATAAAAGTATGCTGCGGGAACTCGAAGAAATCCAGAACACTCTTAAGCCAGAGAGGCGCAAGGCTTTAGGGGGACTACGACACCCACCCCCATTTTACAGATGTGGCTACTGAGGATCAGAGAAGGCACCTGCCCCAGGCCGCACAGCTGGGACTAGAAACAGCTCCCAAACCGGCCACTTTCCTATGCCCATCTGCTTCTGCTCGATCCCCTCGACCTTGGAGTAGAGGGTCTCGCACTCACACAGGCCATGACTGAAGCGAAGCGAGGGTTCCTGCGACGCGCTGCACCAGCTGTCTGAAGACTCCACCCGAGTGACCCGGGCCCCAAGCCCTCCACGACCCTTTTAGCTGGCCCGGACCCGGTGAGTCCCGCCCCTCCGGCGGGCTAAGCCAATTGCATGGCAGGACAGCGGTGGGGGGCGGTGCCAGAGGCGGAGGTAGTGGATTATAAAGCCAGTTTTAGAGCCGGAGGTGACCAATCCGCGAGCACCTCTTCTTGGCCCCGCCCTCGGGGGTCCAAGCGCCGCCCCTTATTCTTCCCCATCCCTCCCCTCCCACTAAAAAAAGATTTGTGCTGTGGCAGAGATTGGGGGAGCCAGTGGAAAATACTTTGGGGATGAGTTAGGCTCAGGAGTTGGCGGGAAGGGGCCGGAGCCCAGCAGGCAGAGAGTCCCCGGGGCCCAGCGCAGCTGGTGGCGGTGTGTGTGTTGAGGAGAGGCCTGCACGGAATTAGAGCAGGGCTCCTCCGAGAGGCTGCTGCAGCCTGGCAGACCAGGGTGTGGCTCCGGCTGGGCCTCTGGCTGTGGGCCTCGGTGGAAGGCTGAGAAGGACCACAAAGCCCAGGCCCCACCCGGGATTTCCCCGGAAGCCGCCGACTGTGGCTACAGCCGCTGCTCACTAGGGCTAAAGAAAGACTGGGCCGGGCGCCAGGTCTGACGCTGGTGTCCTTGGCTCATACCTTGGACTTCGCTGCAGGGCCTGCGGCGGAGAGTTCTGAGTGCCCTGGTTCTGACATCCCTGGGCCGAAGAGGCAGCCTAGGGTGTGCCGGCTCTGCATCCTTGGCCTCGTTCTCCCTTTTGGAGACCAGACACGGCCATCCATTTAGCAGACGTTTGCCTGAGCACCTACTATGTGTCTAGCCCTGGGCCGGCCTCGGAGGATTCAAAGTTGAGTCCCTCCCACCCTCCCAGTCCCTGCTCACAGAATCCACGGTTTGGATGGAATCCGACCGGGAGTCTAAATTAAATAACGCTGTGCTGGCTCTGGGGAGGGCGCAGACACCCACTGGGGTGGGATGGAGACTGGGATGCGAAGCGGGGTCTTGAAGGACCCAGCAAAGGCTTTGAGTTGAAAAGCACAGGTCTGGGGAACAAGCCCCTTGAGTGCGAGCAGACCGTGGGAGGCAAGGATCATGAAGGGCCTTGTGGGCCGGATAAAGGGTTTCATTGTCGCTTCTTCGCCTGAGGGTCCTGGGGAGCTACGGACAGTTACGGAGTGAGATGTGACTTCGGGAGGAGGCTCACTGAGCCCAGCAGAGGGTTAAGTGGTAAAACGGGCACTTTGGAGCTGCTCTTGCCGAAAAGCCTGGACCCCTCCCTTGGGCCCAGGCTGCTGAAAGGATGAGTCCGCCCTCTCTTGCGTTGTCTCGAATCTGTCACCTTTGGCTCACATTCCTGCTTGACTCAGCCTTCCTGACCTACCTCATCCTCCTTCTAAGCCAAAGGCACAGGGACAAGTCACGGTCCCCAGTCTGCCCAGTCTGCCGTCCCCTTGGATTCTGGAAAAAGAGCAAAGCCCCACAGGACAGCCCCTCCCCCACGTGAGGGCAACTGTTCCTGCGGCGAGTGTGCACCCCCCGGGAGCGGAAGTGACCCTCTCCCGAGAACCTGCCTGTCCCCTGACGCAACGGGACTTCTTTTGGACCATCCTGCAGGGCCAGTCTGCTCAAGTATGCTTACCTCTCGCTATCTGCCCCAATTCTTCCACTATTTAAGCTTACAATGCATGGTGGCTCATGCCTGTAATACCAG